TGCCACGCCAGCCCCACCCTCAGGATGGACTGAGTTGGCAAACAAAAGACCGAAAAATAAATAGGAAAGCACATGCAAAGCTGGGTGTGGTGGCACACACCTGTGATCCTATCACATTGGAGGCTGAGGCAGAAAGGTCACTGTGAGTTTAAGGCCAGCCTGAACTACGTAGCAAGACCCTGTATCAAGAAACTAAAAACAAAGGGGAAAAAAATCAAGCAGAAAATACATGCAAAGCTTGGCATGGTGACACACACCTTTAATCCTAGCACTGGGGAAGCGGAGGCAGGAGAATCACCTTGAGTTTGAGGACAGCATGGGCTGCATAGTGACTTCAAGGCCAGCCTGAACTACACAATGAGACCCTGTCTAAAAAAAAAAAAAAAAAAGGAAAAAAGTGCAAAAATAATTAGCAGTAATGACTGAAAGTGCTCTTGTTTTTTTAGAAGCTTGAAGTTGAACACTAGGTTGTTTATTTGAGCTTGCTCTGTTTTTCTGATATGGAAGTTCACGGCTATAAATTTCCCTCATGGGACTGCTTTCATTGTCTCCCACTAAGTTCCGTTATGTTGTATTGACGTTATTGTGTAATTATAGAAACTGTCCAATTTCTTCTTTAATTTCATCTGTGACCCATTGGTTGTTCAGGAGGATGTTATCTAATTTCCATGTGTTTATGATGTTCTTGTGGTTTCTTTTGCTATTGATTTCAAATTTCATTGTGCTTTCAGCCTATGAATTTATTTTTGCATTAAATGTTTCTTTTATGCAGGATACTGTTGGATCTTACTTCTTCTTCTTTTTTTAACACCAGGTTGTGTTGTTTTTTTTTCTTGGTACAGGGAATCAAACTGAGGACCTTGTGCTTCCCAGGCAGGTATTGTGCAGCTGAGCTACATCCATGGATCTTGCTTCTTCCTCTCCTCCTCCTCCTCCTCTTCCTCCTCCTCCTCCTCCTCCTTCTCCTTCTTCTTCTTTTTAGATCTTGTTTCTTGATCCATTCTGCCATTGTGATTTTTTTTTCAGTTGATGAATTGAGACCATTTACATTGATGCTTATAACTATCATGTATTGAATTAGTCTTGTCATGTTATTTTCCTGTTGTTGATTCCCCTTTTTTTCCTTGTTTGCCTTGCCTGGTGGATTCTTCCTGCTGGGGTTCATGAAATCATAGTCCTGTTATCTCTTTATACAATGCCCTTTATTTTTTTTTTAAATTTTTATTTGTGTGTGTGTGTGTGTGTGTGTGTGTGTGTGTGTGGCCAGCTCAGCCCACCAGGGGGCGGGGCTGGCTGGCATGTGGTGCTGGGGGATTGAACCGTGGTCCCTGTGCTTTGCTAACCTTGTTCTAAGTAGGTGCTTTAGACCACTGAGCCATCTCACCAGCCCAACAATGCCCTTTAGAATATTTTGCAGTGCCTGGTTTGGTGGTCATGAATTTCTTCAGGTATTCTTTGTCTTAGAGTTATCTTATTTCTTCAATATTTTTTTTTTCTGGGACTGGGAAGATAGCTCAGTGGCATAAGTGTCTGCCTGGCAAACATAAGGTCCTGAGTTTGATGCTTGGTACGAAATAAAAAAATAACCAAATTGTTTTTATTTCTTTCTCTTTTCTTTTTTTTTCTTTTCTTTTCTTTCTTTCTATTTTTTTTTTTCTCAGTTTGTTCTTGAACTCACTTTGTAGCCCAGGCTGGCCTTGAACTTGCCACAATCCTCCTGCCTCAGTCTCCCAAGTGCTGGGATTACAGGTGTGTATCACCACCCCTAGCTTCTTCATCAGTTTTGAAAGATAGTTTTGCAAGGTATATCAACCTGAGATGAAAGCTGTCTTTTAGGGCCCAAACTTCATTTCAAACTCTACTTAACTTCTGGTTTTGTGTTAAGTCTACTATGATTCTGATGGACTTTCCTTTATATGTGATTTATTTCCTTTCTCTAACAGCTTTTAATATTCTGTTCTTGTGTTGTTTCTAGAATCTTGATTATTATATACCTTAGTGTACATTTTTTTAAATCATGGCTAATTGGAGATGGCCTTACATCTTTGCCTGTGTGTCAAATTCATTTTCCAGTGTGGGCCACAAAGTGAGTTCAAGGCCAGCCTGAACTGCAGAATGAAACTCTTTCTCAAAAAGAAAAAGAAAAAGAAAGAAAGAGAGCTTGGTGTGGTGGCATATGCCAATAATCTAAGCATTCAGGAGGCTGAGGATTAGTGAGTCCAAAGTGAGTCTAAGCCTGGCCTGAACTACGTAGCAAGATCCTGTCTCAAAGAAAGAAAGAAAGAAAAAAAAAAAAAAGACAAAAAAGAAAGAAGTTTTTCTTTTCATGGTTTCTAATTGCAATCCTGTTTTCTGTATCTAATTTCTGTTCTCACATTAGCTCATTCTATTTATGCTTTTTGTGGGTGTGTGTGGCCAGCTCAGCCCACCCTGGGGGTGGGGCTGGCCAGCATGTGGTGCCAGTGGGTCGAACCATGGTCCCTGCCCTATGCCTAAACTTGCCTAAGCAGGCGCTTTAGACCACTGAGCTATCTCACCAGCCCCCTATTTATACTTTCATTGCACTTTTTAATCTACTGGATATCTGTTTGAATCTGTTTCATAGACTCCAGTTTTTTCCTATGTTGGGTACTCATGGTTTCTATCATTTTCCTAAGCTCTTCTACTTTTTTAAGTCTGTATCTGCTTTAGCGTACATGAATATGTCTTTCATTATGGTCACCATCTCTGTAGTTATGTGAGAAATTGCTTTTTTTTTTTTTTTTTTGTACTGAGAATCAAACTCAAGACCTTGCACTTGCCAGGCAGGCACCTGTAGGACTGATCTAGTTCCCCAACAAGAAATTATTTCTGATTCAATCTTTTTTGAGTCTCATTCATCTGCTTTGTGACTTCAGCCATTACCACTTCAGAGAGTACAGGTGGGTGGTTTTTGAATGATTCCAGGGGGCCTGGCCCTAGCTCAGTTCTTTAAGTGGCTGCTTCCACCAAACTGTCAGCCTCAGGTGGCTCTAGTTTGATCCCCACAACTCTCCAGCCAGCTAAACAAGCCCTGAGGGCATTCGGAGCAAAAAAAAAAAAATCCTTATGGGCTGGTGAGATGGCTCAGTGGTCTAAAGCACATACTTAAAACAAGCTTAGCAAAGCACAGGGACCGCGGTTCAATCCCCCAGCACCACATGCCAGCCAGCCCCGCCCCCTGGTGGGCTGAGCTGGCCACACACACAAATAAATAAATTAATTAAAAAAAAAGATTGAATGATTCCACTTCATTGCCCCTGAATTTATTTGCCTTTGGTGATCTGGAAGTCTGGGGTTGCATCTTGCTTAAGTGTCTTGTCATTTTCAGTTTGTTTGTTAAATTCTGGGTTGATGCTTGTAAATTACTTACAGAAAATAAAATTATTGATAGTATTTATTACCCTTAGGAATTACTGCTTCACAGAGGTATCTTCCTGGTGTAGCTGGGTTTTGAGTCTGTTGCAAGATCCTGCCTCTTCAATTTATTGGAGGTGAGAAGTTACTGCCTATTTGGCCCAGTCCCTGGCTCTTTTGGCATGGGTTATAGTATATTTTATGATCCTTAGGCAGTCTCACCCTTGGTATACTCAGAAGAACAACTGATTAAAACAATTATGTCACTTTGGCTAAAGTAGTCAACTAGCAATAACAATAGCAATCAAATATAGCCTAGAAAATGACAAAGTGTAGTGACTGTTCATTTGCCACCATATGGACCATCTGAAGTATATCTGTGGTTATATAACAAAATCTAAAATAAACCAGAGGGGGCTGGTGAGATGGCTCGGTGGTCTAGGGCACCTACTTAGAACAAGCTAAACCAAGCAAGGCACAGGGACCACGGTTCAATCCCCCAGCACCATATGCCAGCCCGCCCGCCCCCTGGTGGGCTGAGC